GCTGCTGGGGGCCGCCCGCCTCTCCTCCTCGGCGCTTTCCTCTCACACCGCCTTCGAGCCCCTGCCACGCCAGGCGGGGGCCAGAAGCCGCCGCAGCCTTCCCGATAGGCGTCTGCCTGCTGTGGTAACGGGACTGCGTCTGCGAGGCAAACCTCGTTGTGGGGGTCTGCCTTGACCATCACCCGGGTTAAAAGTTGAGGGGGTGGTTTGAAGGTGAGACAAGAGAGTTAGGGTTTCAGTATCTTGAAAAAGATAAAGGAGTGATATTCATCATTAAACTGCCAAGCTAATTACTCCGTTACCGTCAGGGTGGCAACGGTTGGGTGCATATGCAGTGTTGAGCGAGACCTTCGATTTTCAAATTTAACGTACACATGATACGCAATGAAAAAATTATCTTTGGCAGAGAGGTTTATAGTGGAATGTTACATATTTTGGCCAAGGTTGGGTTGGATTTCACTCTTTTTCTTGTTAGGTAATTCTAAATGAGCAACGGAGCTACTTACTGTATAATACTAAGCATGTCCAAGTGCCTTCCTAGTTTGGTCTGCATTGCTATATATCTTATACAGAACGGGGAACCTAATGCCTGTCTTTGGGTAGGATCATCAGTCACTTTGATGTATGATTTCTTTCACAAAAAAAATAACCCAAAAGGTAAGTTTGCCAGTCATTAAGAAATTAATTTTTAGGTAGAGGGAATATTGGCATGCTAGTAACCTAAGACAAAAAGAGTCCCTTTCCTAGGTTAGAAGCAGAATAAGTTTACGTGAATGTTAATGGCTTGTGTGGATGTATGTCAAAGAAAAATTTTGAAGTAAAAAATAATTTAACGAAATGTCAGAGAGCAAATGTATTTAAGCAAACAGATGTCTTATTTCACTTACTAGTTCCACAAACTGGCTTCTGCATATTTTCAAGAATTGTCTCAAATTGTCCTTGTCACAATAAATTCTAAAAAAAAAATCATATGATTCCTTGCTTATCATTCCATAATCCAACATTTTTCACTTTGCTAGAGCCAGTTTAATCTGGCTAACAGATAGCCATGGACAAGACGAAAATGCTGGCAGTTGGCCATATTCAGTAACTTGCACAGATACATTTGACAAGTCATTGGATGACGCCACAAAAATTATAACGTGTTTTCTTTGGAGCAATGCAATCCTATTACTTGTCTCTCATTTGTTTCAGAGTTCATGAACAGAAAGGAGCATAGTTACAGTGCTCCAAGATTCTGTTAACTGTTTCAGTATACATTACGTGGTAGGGACAGTCTTTTTCCAGCTTTTCCAAATTAAAAGAGCAATTTGTCCATGCAGTTAAAAGTATTGCAAATAGCAGTATCGCTGCTATTTCTTTTATAAGAGAGAAATACCTGAAACCTCCAAGGGTAACCTGGAAGGTTACGCTGCTCACCCTCTGGTACAGTAATTGAACTTTTCACCATATCTTTTGATCACAGGAAATGCCAGTTGCCGAAGCAGCTGCAGGATAACCAGGGAGAGACCAAAGGGTAGATGCATAGCTAGTAACCATGTAGGGCTGCTGAGCAAAACTCGCCTCAAGTTGAAACAGTCTGCTTGCTTCTGCACAGCCGACATAAGGCTAAGTGGCAGAAATTCAGAGATTCTGAGTAGCCTGTTTCTACGCTACTAAGGCAAGACCATCAGGGATACATTATTGCCACTAGGCATGTCCTGGGCACCTATTTTTAGGAAATACATCATGGTTTTTATATGCTTCTCAGTATATTTTTTTTCCAATGACTTATACTTTTGCTGGCTTCTTGTGCTTTTATGAATTTAAACAGAGGCATAGTACCTGATCAATTTGCAAAATTTGTCATGCGTTTTATGGGCTTTCATAAATTTTAACCATTGTGTACATCAGCTTTTATTGCGTGGGCCTGTATGGCTCAGCTGGTTCATTGGTCATATACATGTCATGATTTATGTTACTTGGACTTTTGTGTATGTTAATGAATTTTATAGATGAATTAAAGTGTGAAAACAAGCAGAAAACAGATTTTTTCATTATAATTTTAGAAATCGCGAGTTAGTATTCTTGAAGTACACCCAGTGTAAGCATCGCTAAAAATGCAATCTCTCAGTTGCTTGGCTTGGTGAAATTCTGAGTATAAACTCAAGCCACCTCGTGGCATCTTGATGGTGGACCCATGGTTCCTAGAAATACCTACTTAGCTGCCATGTTTGTGTGCTTGAACTGTGCTTCAGTTATATAAATTGTATGTGTTAATTTATAGTAACGCTGTCAATATATTGGCCATACTTGAAGCCTAACAATTTTCTATTACTCATCAAGAATCCATCCATTCCCTTAAAGAGAGTGAACACTAGTAAAGGTAGACAATTTTACCATTCTTTTATCTGTCACTTAGCTACTCAAGCTGAAAGTAAACACGTTTATTTCCTCTTAAAGTTTGGTGTCTTTGTGTTCACACCTGACAATTAAATTTATGATGCTTTAGTTAGACTAGTCACTTCTTTTATTCTGAGTAAAGTTATTTTTGTCTAGGTTTCTGCTTTTTAAATAAGTGAATCCATAAATCCTTCAGGTATTTTGGCAAGGTTTTTGTGATGAACCGGTCCATTAAGAACTAAGGGGCTAGATTTGCAGTAGTGGTCAGCACTGCTGAAAATCAAGTCCTCGGGTTATTCTGGTGCTTTATCATTTATTTTTTCTTCTTTTCTTTTGTTCTCCTCTACAGCCTCGCCTCATGCCTTGTGTCTCTCGCTTGTCCTTCTTTGATTGCTATCATATCTTGTTCCTATCCTTAGGCTCATTTCAGCTTTTGGTTTTAGAAACTTTTCTTCTATTCTAGATGCTCTGTTTACGTATTTGGTGGCCTTCCTGTTTCTAAAGCCTTTCTTCCCTAAATCTTACCTGTTATTATGAATCATATATCCACAGATTTCTACTCTGTTTAACATCAGTTACGGTGTCCTTCCTTTTTTTGTATTAAAAGTTATCCATTTTAGCCACAGATATAATGATGTCTGATCTCCTGAAGAACAGGAATATGAAGTCATAATAAAATCAGAGGTTATTTCAAGAATTGCACTCTTAAGGTTTGACAGAATCAGTCGATTAAAAAAAAATCAACAGACATAGTCACTTTGAAGTCATATATTTTAATTGGAGGAAAATAGGAACGAAAGACTACTAGATCTGGAGATGTTCCAATTGGTCACGGATCAAGAAACTAAATTAATTATGAATTGTCCTATATCATCAAGGACATTTCTCCGTTAATCAGAACAAGGTATAAACTGAGGATTTTCTGTAGGACATACCAGTTTTGGTAAAAAGGCAAAGACTTTCAAAAATAATTCTGAGCAGAGAAAAGGAATTCAAGGAGAGCAAAATGTATTTAAAAACTTTGAAAAAAAAATGTAAAAATGTAAAGGTAAACCCTGGCTTACATGCAAAAATCCACAGGGATTTTTGTGATTTTTTTGTGGATTGTGATTTTTTTTTTTTTTAATGTCTTCTTGCTCCCATTTGTATGTCTGTTCCCTCTGTTGTAAGTCCTTCTATTCCTTTCTCGGCACTTAGTGGGGGGCAACAGCAGAACAGGATATATGTATGCACACCTCTGCCACACCCATTTGGAGTAGTCTGTTTACATCTTCCTTCAACTTTGACTTATATTTGGTTTTAACACTGCGAAATGGAGCGTCTGCGTATTCTATTCTTGCATCCCTCGTCTAAGGGCAGTAAGGGAACTTAGGGGACTGATGTGGATGTGTAGGGGCAGTAACATTGCAATATAGCATCTTGTGATAAAATCTTTCATTAAGTGTAAACATTGTAAATATTATAACAGTTCTGAAAAAAAAGTAAGAATTTCAGTGTTACAGGTAGTTAATTCAAATGTTACGTTTACAAAGAAAATTGAAAGAAAAAATTACAGATATAGACCAGATTTTTTTAAAAACTGCAACAAAAATATGTGTAGCATTTAAGAGAACTATGGTGAAAGGAAAACAGCTACTGGAAATCGAATACTAACAAAATACAAGGGCTAACAAAATACGAGGACAGTGGTTGTATGTTCTATTACTAAGGGAAGAATAGTTTTCTAGAGTTTATAATATTCTCAGCAAGTCAAAGAATAATATTCTATTAATATTAAGACAGAAAAACCTTTTTTTAGTTCACTTGCATTTATGCATATAACTTATGATTATTACTTTATATTACAAATACAAATTGTGTCCTTGATTTTTACAGTGCTATTTGTAAACCTAAAGATACTAGCCCTAATGTATAGAACTTTCATAATACTACACTTTCATTAAGTGTACAGCTATATAGACTGCTGTAGCATTAATTATAATTACTTTAAAGCAAGTAAATCCTTACTTTAAAATAAAGGCTTTTATTTTAAAATAAATAATGCTTTTACACAAAGAGAGCGAATATGTGTATATGTGCAAAAGTGAAATTGCCAGTAATAAAATGAGGCAAGGATTTCCTTAATCTTTCTTTCCTGAAGTTAAACATCTTCTGGCAAAATGTGGATATATTTACAAGTATTTAAAATGTTGTCCTTGTACATAATTTTTATAAAATACCAGCCCCTCAGCTGTCATAAAAAATGGTGAAACTGCATAAATAATCTAGAGGGAAGTTCTTTGTTTGTCCACACAGAGTATAAAAAGAATCATTGGGCAAGACTTTTCTTAGCATAAAAATGCTCTTATCCATTCCTTGCATAGAAAACCTATTAAAGTGTATATTTCACAGGGAGCCAGGTGGCTATATGGGTTGTTCATAATGGAATATTGAGGTTTTTTACCTGTCAGTTAACAGATTCAAATCTGGCTCAATTCAGTCTCTTTAGAGATTTTGGAGCAGCATGGGCTGAGGCAGTGGGAAGCACCTCAGGTAACAGACCCCGCAGGAGCAAACGGGTTAAAGCACCTGTCACCAGCAAGAGTTCTTCTTAGCCTACTGAAAATAAAACATTTCAGCTGAAAGACTTCAGTAGTTACAGGAGAAAAACAGAAATAGAGATGTGTAAGAGTAATAAGACATTCCAAAATGGATGAAAACATTCAGGTTTTAAATGCCAACATTTACAAAATGTATGGGTTTTTTTTTTTTAATGTAATACCGTTCCGTGACTATTAGGAACAGAAAGCAAGACAGA